CTGTTGTGTTTATTTAGTATGGTGCGTCCTACTGACTAATATCACACATAATTCTAGACAAGAAAAAAGCTATCAAACAGTTACAAAGAAAAACAAACCTTAACAACTTCCAAAATAACAAAACTTAAACGAAAATAGCTAAACAGCAAACAGAATTTCTTAAATAATTGAAAACAGAAGAGCATCAGCTGAATCTGCCTATGACATTTGTAAACAGACCCTTACAGTCGGGTCAAATATTAACTTATCTAGTTCCGAACGTATGGGGTACAGCAAGGAGAGTTGGCCGACAGTTTGATTATGATGTTGTTGGTTGAAAGTAATTTAACTAGCAAGTAATATTGAGACGTATTTGTGTTAAGATAGATTTAGCTTCAGCTACCGACGTGGTTTTCTCGAAAACCGACGTGAAACGACGCTTGTGTTGTGTTGCGTCCTGCGAATGAAGTTACCGGAGACCCAATTATCTAGTAAAAGAGAGGTTCATTTCAATAAAAATAAAACCTTATTCACACAAGTCTTATTACAAATAAGTCGTAGGTATATGATAGAGCGTAGTCTATCGCTAAGCTTAGGTCTAGATACCAAGATTTTTTTTAAATTCCATACCACCTTAGATAGGGTCCTATAGGGCTGATGCCAATACGGAGCCACGGAGGGCTTAACGGGTTAACTCCGGCTCAAAGTGCAGGAGTAGGAACAGGGTGGTTATTTGTCAGTAAAACTCTGACACTCCCTCTCGCCTCACCCAGGCGAGATAAGTCATTTGATGATTTTCCCCCCTTAAAAAATCCCAGTAACATTATGTCCACTTTTGGAAATCAAAGATTTTAATTACTTTTTCAAATAAAACAAGCGTTGAACGCAACTAATACATTCGTAGAAAAAAAAATCAAAATAAGACTTCAATATAAAATGTTAATAGGATCGAACAAATATGTACAAAGAGAATGTAACTAAATAAACTAAAGAACAATAGATTTAAGACTATAAAAATAACGCAAAGACACATAAAAATGAATGCTTCATAAAAAATAAGAAGAAAAATCGTTTATGTAAAGAAATAATAAAACGCTTTTAAACAAGTGTCATAAAATAAAAAGAAAATCCATCAAAGCTAATATTGAAGTCTTGTAGTTTACTTTTTAGCTACAATGAAAATTTTAATACCCTATATATTTTGATCGCGCCTTCGTAGAAATATTTTTTTATACATTTGGCTCAAGTTTTACTAAATAGTTATTAATGCTCGAATAGATATTTGAATCTAGTTCAGTAGAATATTTGGGTACTTCTCTTAATTAGAAGAAATTACTTCGACTGTTCAATACAAACAAAATATTAAAAAATAATCACTATTCCATTAATTGACTTTATGACCAACTTAATTTTAGTATTATTCCAGAAAAAAAAAACACGCTAAAAAGCGTGACATCACAGTACACTATCTCATACAAAAGTCATAAAAAACTGTCGTTTTTGACAGTTTAAAAAAGTATTGGATTTGACTAGTTGACAAATACCCAGTTGTATGAACATCTTGTTAGGAAACATATTTAATATATTAAGGAGTATTCTTATCTCTAGTTGTTTGAGGTCAAATAAGTAATTTCAGTTATTGCACTCCTCGACACTACATTAGAAGTCTAATCTTAATGTCATCATTCACATAAGAAATACACATATTAAGTTGCGTAATTCGACCAATTACCATTTATCCAAATACAGTAAAACCTGGTTAAGTAAGACATCAAGAGACCTGCAATGTAGTTTCATTTATAGAGGTATTCCACTTACTCAGTGTCTCAGATATACAGGTATAAATAAATATTTGTCTCATTTACAGAGGGTTCCATTATATCATAGAGGTGGGTAGAATAAGAATGCGTAAACAAACAATGTTATCTCAGTTACAGAGGTTTATGCATATAAAATTTACTCGCTGTCTCAGTTATAGGGGTAACTATGATGATAAATCGAAAGAACAAATCCCAGATATAAAGGTTTACCTCGTCCCACTTACAGAGGTAATTCAGTGCCAAAGTGTTGGGACCTTAGCATGAGTTCCAGTTATGGAGATTTCTCACTTATCCAGGTCCCACTTAACCAAGTTTCACTGTAAATATATAAGCACTGGTCTAAATAAGTTCAAGTCTGTCAGTCTGGTCCAAGTAAGTCCAAATAAGTAGTAAAAAAACCGCCGCGTTTCAGCTGTAGTATGCCAGTGGCCTTAAAAATATGGGGAAAAAATCGACCAAATCTAGTTTTAGTAATACATTTTTCAATATACCTACTTTATGAAATGATTATCAAAAACTGATAAACAGCTCAGAACCCTACCAAAAAAGACAATGAAAGGTATATAAATTTTCATTGTTACAGTGTTTCACTAAATATAACATAACATAACA